GGGTTCAAACAGCTGACCTTGCAGTTAACAGTCCAACGTATACGCCACCAGAGCTCCTTACAGTCAGGGCGGCCCAGCAAAAAAATGTGCTGAACTGCACATGAGAATGAGCACTGACAATGTGCCAGAAATTTCTGTGAGTTCCCCACATCACTAATTACCTAAGATAATACCTATAAGGTACTCCTACTACCCCCACTTATTGGATGAGAAATTAAGGCTCAGAGTGGTTGAGTAACCTGGATAAAGTCAACCAAATAGGTGGCACATTCCACTGGTGGCAGTGGAATATGAATCCAGGCTGCCTAATGTCAGGACAAGAAGTTGTAAACATGATGCTATACTGCCTCTGAAGTAAGTGAGCTCAAAGGAACATGAACTTTATATACTAGCGGTTTTCTTCTTGTAGAAATCTTTGCTGACTTTCTGATTCTCGGGTATATTTTCAATAGCAATGAGCTTTGAAAGCTGGGCAAGCTGAGCCACACCAATGAGCTCCTTCCTGTATACTACAGAGAGTGGATCCCAAAGAATCAAAGCCGGAGAGATCTGTATGTAATGGGGTCATCAGGGAGGACTTTAAGAAGTTCATAAGACCTAAGCCCAAGTAGCTTAAGGACAAGCACAAAGCCTTTGTGGAATAAGGAGGGTCATAAATAGATGAGTACACAAGCACTTAAGTGGTTGGGGATATCTATAATCTCTGAAGCTATCCCCAATCTTGCAGGCTTTACCTGGTCACTCAAACAGCTGGACAAACGCAGGATTGCAGCTGGCAGTGCTAGTGGGGTGAGAGACGGTAGCTAATACAAAAACCAAACTCGCTGCCATCAATTCAATTCTGACTCATAGCGAACCTACAGGACAAGGTGGAACTGTCCCTGGGAGTTTCATGGACTGCTCACTGGGGTACTCTTTATGGGAGTAGAAAGCCCTCTCTCTCTCTCTCTCTCTCTCTCTCTCTCTCTCTCTCTCTCTCTCTCTCTCTCTCTCGGAGCAACAGTTTCAAACTACTGACCTTGCGGTTAGCAGCCCAATGTGTAACCACTACGCCACCAGGGCTCTTTCAGCTAATAGAAAAGCCGAGTGCAAAGTTCTGACTCCACAAGTGTTTACGTGACTCAGGGACCGTGAAGTAGGGGTATGGATGACCTCCCTTTTGCTATTTGTCAACCTCAAGAGGAAAGGCATGCTGACCTAAGGGGCTAATTAAATGTATGGTCTCATTTGCTCAGAAGCTTTAGCTCATTTAAACCAGTCACCTTTGAGATGATCATAATTAATGACACATCTAGTATAACTCCTCCCTGCCCCTAGGAATCACAGGCATGGGAGGCTAGGGCAGCACTCGGGCCTTATGCCATTTCAACAACAGACGCAAGAGTACGTCAGCTCTTTTAGTCAGGAAAGTGGAGACACCACCCAGCCTTTAAGGCCAACTCCAAACACATCAGCACAAGGCCTGAAGTCAAAACATTGTGCTCAACGAAAATGCCCGTCTGCTTGAGCTATCTGGCAGCAAACTCCTGGACTAAATTTCAAGTGAGAGCACAAGGAGGGACTGGACCTGTCCTGGGAGGCGGGCACTTTACCATAGTGCCTCACTTCAGCAAACTACGCGGGGAGTGACGAGACCTCTGACAGGTCTCCAAACGACGCAGGCACCGTTCCAGCCATCCCAGGGCAGAGGGCCTGACAAGCTTGCCCAGTTTTCTCCTCAGCCCTCAGTCAGCACAACTGCAGAGTACCAGCATGGCCAAGGTCAGATTTAAAATGCACACCGTGCATTCCCTGTATGTTGATGGCATACCTGGGAGTACTAGAAACAGAAACCTGATAAACACTAAGACATTCTGAACTCAGAGCCAGCCATTATTTTCCCCCTACAGCCGCAGGCAGCTCTGGGCAGGACCGTCATCCTAGCATCTCACTAGCCCCCGCTCCCTGCCAACTTCTATGCTTCTGGCCACGGCATGCCCACCTGGAGCACTCTCACCTATCCAAGCATTCCCATCCTTCAAAACCCACTAAAGTCCTGTTCCCTCCTAGACACAGCCCCTGATGCCCACCTCATCCCAAAGTGTTCTCTCCTTTCTGCAACATACTAACCAATCACAATGAGTACTAAATCCGTGGTTTATTGAGTACCTACCATGGGCTGGCATGGTGTTAAGGGGCTAGGGAAATAGTAGCAAGCAGTGGGTTTTGCCTCCCAAAAGATGCACCCAGGGAGAGGAGCGTTTTTCTTACAGCAAACCAAAAAACCAAACTGCCATGAAGTGGATTCCAACTTGTCTCGACCCTGTAGGGCAGGGTAGGACTCCTGTGGGCTTCAGAGACCGTAACTCTTCATGGGAATAGAAAGCCTTCTCTTTTCTTTCCATGGCTGGTGGTTGGTTTTGAAATGCCGACCTTGCAGCCTGACCCACTACGCCACCAGGGCTGTTCCTCTCCAGCGGTTGGTACTCAGTGATGCCTAAGGATGTATTCAAACTTTGTTCGGGCACATTCAAATTGAAGTTACGGAAAGTAATAGGGAACAAACGCTAACGAAGTCATTTCTAAATGAACTTCCACTTCTTAAAAACCTCAAAGAAAAAGGAAGGAAAAGAAAACAGGCTCTGAAAGTGCTGCTGCACCAACTTTAACTCGCGTTGACAAAGCACCTCCAACCCCGCCTTCCCAGCCAGCAAAGGTAACCTTTCTCCTGCCCCAAGTGTGTTCGCTTGAACAGACCTTGGAAAAGTTTAAAGCACACCCCCGCCCCGCTTCCTAAACAATTCTGTCTACGCCTTTATTACTTGATAATAAATACCGCCCGCCCGCCCGCCCCCGAGGAAACCCTCTCTGTTCCACGAAAGGATGTCCAGGACAAGGCATTAGAATTCCAGCTTCAAGCATAAGCAGTGCTCAGAGAACACTGAACGGAACAGATCCAAAGGCAATTTTAATATGCACAAAAGCCAGGTCCTGCAGGACCTGGGGGAAGGTCCCAAGTTCCGAAGAGAAAGGGACAGGCAGGGTGTCTTCTTCCGGGGGAGCCCCGAGAATCTGCAAGGCGTGCGAGCATCGGCAGGCGGTGAGGGAGATTTGAAATATCTGCATTTTGCTCTAAAGTGGCTGCGGGAGGCGA